CTGGCCCCCCCTTTTCTCTGTCTGTGTAACCTGGTATTAGTGAAAGAAAGCAAAAAGGTTTGAAATCCTACTTGAAGCAGATACTGGTTACTTAAGTCAGCATTATGTTCAGTAACAACAGACACAGCTGTCTTGACCACACACAGACCATTTTAGCAATTGCCAAAGTGCAACACTCGTTGTGCAGCCAAGTCTCAAATTATGGTAAGCAATGAAATAACCAAAGATGTTTTAAAAGAGAGCACATCAGTTCCATTAATATAAAATTTACCTTTTAGATAATTCTTGACTTCTAATAAATGTATGTTTGCCAGCTATGTGAGCAACAAGGCTATGGAAAGTAAAAATTGCTTCATAAAAATAAGGCAGCCAGGATTTTTTTTGAGTAGGACTTAATGACTATGTAATTGTAATTTCTAAGTGCACATAATTATTAACATAGAAACAGGCACACAGTCTTCTGCATCATGTATCTTTTCATGGGCTTTTTAATTTATTAATTTTATTACTATTATTTATTTATTATTTTTTAAAAAATCGGAGTCAGTGAAAACTAGCACCAAACATAAGACATGGAAGGAAGACAAATTCAGGTTTCACATCAGTGGAGATTAAACATCTGCATATAATTAAGCATGGACTTAAGCTCTTTGTTGAGTTTGAATCTTAAGAATTGTACACAGATATTTTCAGAGAATTTTTACAATTTCAAATATTTTGAGCTGGACAAATCAGCTGCTTGTACATTTGTCATGTAGTCTTCCGATAAAAGAAAAGGTAATATTCCAGGTTCCTTCTATTCATACTCCTCCTACCTTAAACTACAGTAAGAATTTCCTACTGTTCTTTAAAATGAAAAGTTCTGGGGATAAAATTCAGATAATAACTTTTCACAAGACCAGGCTGCAGAAAAATAAATGAAAGAGGGAATTACAACTTAACCATTTCACAGAAGCATATGAGATCTGTGTAGTGGTTAATATTACCCAAGCTCCTGGAAGCACACAAGATCCTAATTACTTTCTCTAAATCTGACTTTCCTCTCCCAGCAGCCCTTATAATTCTGTCAGAGTAGATCCAGAAGCTGCTTAGCCTTCTGGACAACTTCAAATCCCTGTCAGCATATCAAGGATGTTGTAACTTTTGCTCTATTTCCATACCATCCAAGGTCTATCTCCTGCTCCTACCAGCATGTCTGCACTACTCTCACTTGTCAAAGTGAAGCACAAAGCATGGTCTAGCAGACCACCAGTGAAGATGTAATCCACCAGACTTGGCCAAGTTTGTGCCCTTTTCCTCTTGGCCACTGGATGGAAAGAAAATGCAGCAAAGGAACGTTCTGAGGTCTGTACACTTTCTTCTCTTCTTCTGGGCTACCTATATGTAGTAGTACAGTGGCAGAGCTGAAGAAGATCATAGAATGATAGAATCATAGAGTGGCTTGGATTGGAAGGAACCTTAGAGGTCATCTAGTTACGATACTACTGCAATGGGCAGTGTTGCCAGCCACTAAATGAAGTTGCTCAGGGCCCCATTCAACCTGGCCTTGAACATCTTCAGGGATGAGGCATCCACAACTCAGCACAAATAGTTTCAGTGCTCTACCACCCTCTGAACAAAAAAAATTCTGCTTGACATCTAGCCTTAACCTCCCCTCTGTTTGTATAGTTAATCTGCATTATTGCCTTTCCCTCAAGAAAATAGATTTACTTTTTTTCTAAACAAATTTTTCTTTAATAACACCAAAACATACAATCTCATTAGTAACAACAACAAAAAATTAGATCCTTTGCACACATCTTGCAACAGTTAAAAATTTGCAAAATAATAATTACAAAGTCATCATGATGTGTCTGTTCTTGCAATAAGTAATGCATGCTTGAAGAAATGCTCAATATTATGTGTTGTGACAGTTGCTATGGTAACAATGCTTTTTCCCCTTATAGCAAAGCAATTAGTTATGAAAATCTATGGAAAGTGTTAGTAAGTGAGGACTTTGCTGACATTTTTTGGGTTCAGATTTTGTTGCTTTTTCCCCAAGATATGTTATTTGTTGCACCAAGCATGATCAACCCTTAGCAGTCTGAGAGAGAGAGGTGATCAGCTCGGCTGAGAGAGATGGAGAGAAGGTGATGTGGTGTACTGCAGGAAATCGCACATTCAGAAGACAAACACAGCCTTCTATTTTCCCATACTTTCCTCAGTGTAACAATCATGCAGCAGGTCCCAAGTGACGTAGGGCAATGAATCTCAGCAATGGGCTTCCAAATAGAAGATGTCTGGGGAAGGGCAGCCAGGGTTCAGTGCACACAGAAGAGCTGTCTCAAGTGCACCCTCAACACTGCAGGCTGTAAAACTTACAGCAGAGCAGCCCCAGAAACAAATGATTTCAGAATATGATTTTACCAGTTCAATGGGACTTACACTTTCTATGATATCTGGGACTGAATGCATAAATGCACTTAAAGGGAAACCTTTTAAGCATGGCCTGTGCAGCTTTACCTTTGGGATCCACCTTCTAAGTATGTGTCTTTGAGCCCTCTCATGCAGCTCCTTTTGCTTTTAACTTAGCTCCAGAACACATGAGCCTACCTTTCTTTTCATAGAATCATATAATCGTTTGAGTTGGAAGGAACCCTTAAAGGCCATCTAGTCCAATTTCTTGCAGTGACCAGGAACACCTACAGCTTCATCAAGTGCTTAGAACCCTATTCAGCCTGACCTTGAGTATCTCCATGGATGGGCCATACACCACTTCTCTGGGCAACCTGTGCCAGTGCCTCACCATCCTTGTTGTAATAAAATTTCTTCCGTACATTCAATCTAAATATCCCCTGCTCTAGTTAGAAACTATCTCCCTTTGTTTTCTTCAACAGACTGTTAAGGATCCCATAAAAAAATAAACAACCAAGTTCTACTCTTGTTAGGCAGTGTCCTGTTCCACTTCCATGTCCAAGGAAATCCAGATGTAATGTCACATCATACCTTCACTGATTGGTTCAGAATTGGAAAGTTTGGCCTAAACTGCAGCCAACTTCTAGTCCATTCCACACAAAGTGTCTGCCATCAAACACAATTTACAGATTACGCAGAGCTTTCCCCATAATTAAATTTCTTCACCCTTCCTCTTAGGTCTCCAGGAAAACTTTAGGAGCTTTCTCTCTTTCTTTTTTTTTTTTCTTTTTCCCTGAGTTAGAAGAGCTCATAAAATATAGAGCACTTACATTAAAACAGGAAAGATATTTAACTTTCATTATTACGAAAGGTACCATGAGCCACACAGCACTCCAATAAAAGAGACACTGGCACAGAAGAACCACTGCTGTGTGCAGAAAGACAATGAAGACACCTAAGTAAGTGGGGGTAGAAGCTCTGAAGTCTATTTCCCTTAGAAAAATGCTGCAGAACCCATGGGAAGGGACTGCTATTGCTTACTGATGAAACAGATTATCCCATTCTCCAGAATTTTTCCTGGAGTGGGGAAATTGAGCCCTAGTATTTTGCATTAGAGGAAGCTATGTGAACATCATGGGTGAAACATAAGGATTTTTGTATTAATGTCATAGCACATCATAGTGACTCTTTGACGTACACCTCAAAATCACTCCATGTGCTTGACAGTATGGAAGGATCAGTCAATTCCTTGCTATGTGACACACTCACCACAGTGGGATTTTGTCTATTTATACTGGTGGGGAATTTCATTCCACTCAGTGAATCTTTAAAGGAAAAGAAAAAAGACCAGGAGATAATATTTTTTTCTCTCTTCTTGTCCATCCGTCTCTAATCGTAAACTTGTTTCCTCCCATGCTGCAGTGTTTTAAAACCAGAACAAAGAGCTAGCGAGGGTAAGCCCAACTATGTGCTAATTTATAGCTGCTCAGAGTAAAAGGCAGCTCCAGCTGACAGTAGCTTCAAAAAAAAATTGTGCCTCCTATAAATTAGAGTAAGGGAACTGATCACTGAAGGTAAACAGGTGATGAAATACTTCATTAGTACCTCATTTGTAATTTATGTCTGCTGAAGTAGTTGACAAAGAATCAAAACGTAAGTGGTAGATTTCTCAGAAGTGCAGCCTTTGAGGTCACTGAAGTGGATTAATTATAGCCCAGTGTAAAGCACAGCCTGTCTCTGTGTCAATTACCAGTATTTGATAACTGAAATTATGTCAAGCTCTGTTCTTCCTCAAGATGCAACCACACATTTTAAAATCATTATGACTGTAAGCATGAGCTTTCACATAGCTAATGAGTTCAGCTCATTTATTAAAGTTCATTCTGACTTAGCAGATAGAAGTTCAGATTCAGAAGGGAGTGGGTGGCAAGGGATCTAATTCTGCAAAAATAAACACCTTTTCTTATCCCCTCTCCCCTTCATATGCGAGAGAAGTGAATTTAGTTCACTTGCCAAGTAATCATTTAAAGGTACTGTAGGAGAAAGGGAGTCAACTGCTATTAAATATGACCTCCTTCTAATGGCTATCAGAGCTCCAATTGTTAAGTGAAAATGCTAGGCTTAATGGACTACCTGCTGTTCATATTCATTAAAGCACAGTAACTGATAAAGTCCCCCTACCACAGCTTGGGATTTTCTTTCCCCTCTACCTCCCTTTTCCACTCTCATCCCAGGAACTCTAAAAGTAGTGGAAAGGACTCAGTAGCATCTGGTCATGTGTCACCAAAGCCCACCACAAGCTCTTTGCTGCGTAACTCTATCTCGCTGTGGCTGGGAATCTGCTCCTGCATTGCCACCCACAGAACTCCAAAGCTGTACTTTGGGTTTGCTTTGGCTTCCTGATATAGCAAACAGCCAACACTCAGGGCTGGCACCAGTAAAACTGTCATAAGGACACCCAAATGCTGTGTGTTTCATGTGCACCTCATGAACCCTGGCCAATGCCAACAATGGCTCCAGCTTCAGCAAAGGTCGACTTTGACCAGAGGCTGGAGAGCAGTGTTTGGTCTAGTGTGATATTTTGTCACAGTTCCCTGCTTTCACCTGAAGGATATCTACAGCGTCTCTTACTGAAGTAATAATCTCACTATGTAGGTATTTTTTTTATTCTTTTTTTTTTTCTCTAACTAAATGATATACAGGCTGGGTACAGATGGTGTTTTCAACAGAATCTCACATTTATCATTACTGTAATTTTATACAAAGATTTTCGTATTCAAATATTCTTCAGCAACCTTCTTAGAAATTCTTTGAGGTGGACATAGTATAGTCACAAGATTTCCTACTAAAGAAAGTTTCTTTTTAGATTAACAACGTGTGGTGCTAAGGTTTAAAGTGCGAATTTTAGTTTGTCAGTGCAACTCATCATTCTTTACTACACATTGTGAAATCATTTTAAGATTCCTTGTGCATCTTTAAGCCAAAAGAATATCTGACAATCTCCCAAGACTTCTACTATGAAGTCCAAGTAAGTATACAGCTATGACCCAAACAACAGATGTCCAACCTGAAACTCATGAAAATAGTAGAAGAAAATAATTGTTTGTGTCTCTAATAATACTCTATTTTCTAATGGAATTGATCTCTCTAATTTGCACTGTGTTGCTGTCTGTATTTTTAACACCAGAATAATAAGACAATTAATATCAGAAACACCTATATGGCTTAGGTGCATGGAGGGGTGGATTGAGCAGAATATTCACCACTGGGTGGCTTTCTGGCCCTACTGAAATCAACAAAAGTTACAACATCTGCCTCAATGCATACGGGATTTCAAATCTCATATTTTAACCTCCACCGTTTCAGGGAAAATATTTGATTGGATAAACTGCCAGAATGTTGAAGCAATCCCACCCAAAATATTTTGTGGCAATAATGACACTGATTTCTCCATCATAGCATCAGTCAAGCTGGAATGCTTAAAAATGCTCATTTCAATATAAGTAAGTAAAAATATGCTACAGATTGGAAATGAGGGAAGAGAACTGGTATGTAGGATATTATAAGCTATGTCTAGACTTACCTGCTAGGAAAAATGATGGCTCCCATCCAGTCCACACCTCCAGTTTTCTTTACTGTGAATACCAGATTGTGGGAAGGTGGGAGGGAAGAAGAAAGGACAGCTGATGTGTGCCTGCATTTTGTCCCAGTAGGGAGCTGGGAGATGAGAGTATGCAACTGGAAAGTGGAAAATTCTCTGCACATCCTTCATCTAGATATGTGCCCACAGTAACCAAGGAAATGACTTTTTTAAAGGAATTAAAGTGTTTCCATTTTTCCATTCATTCTGTTAAATATAGACTAAGACTTTTCAGAAAGCTAAGCACTAGATGTATTATTTCCTTCTCTGCTACCACTGTAATAGTGCTCCATTTGAGATGAGCTCAGTAACTCCCATGACTCTGAGCCAAGCTTTTACACAGGTGTAACAACAGATTTGCAAACTCCCTGTGCTCCTGAATGAGCTCCTACATGACACCAGCACACTGGCACATTTCCCAAAAATGCTCACCATCTCCCAGCTCTTATTCTGCCACCCAAGATCAGTTTCAATGAAATGTCAATGACAAAATGTAAAAAAAGAAAAAAAAGCACAAAAAGCCAACAGTGCCTAATTCTCAAGTTGGAACATGAATATTAGTTAAGAATTATATATATACAATTTTTTTTTCTTTTTTTTTTCTTGTCTGCTGTTCTTGCTTTCTGCCCAGTTGAGCAGCTACGTGCTGGGGCTGGCAGGAGACTGTGCACCTCCAGGCAAGGTGTGAGGCCAGACAGCTGGCCCCAAGGGACAGGACAGGGCAGGCACAAGCAGATGGCCCTGAGTGGCCGGGCTGGTGCAGGGACAGATGGCAACTCGGGACAGCTCGAGAAGGGGACATATGGCAACACGGGCTTGGCACATCCTTTACGCTGATCCCAATTACAGGGCTGGGTTCGCCTGGGGGAAGGCAAAGGGCTTCAGAGTCTTCCTGTCTCTCTTCAGGATCATGTGCGCTGTACAGTTCGCTGGGGATGGGGCCACTGCTGAGCCTTTCCAAACACTTTTCTCTGCTGTTTTTTCAGTCGCTAACAAGATTTCCCCATTCTTATGTTCACTTATATATGATGGTTTTCATCAGCATGTGGGCCATCAGAGGTAGAGAAAGATGAAGAACAACATGTGCACCACCGAGATTTAATGGACTGGGATGGTCCAGCACAAGGCGGTATCCTTTGAGACACAGAAGACAAATGGATTTTCCTGCTCATCAACTTATGAGCTGGCCATATACAGATCAAAAATATTTAGCAAGAAGAAAACCACAAAAGCTTGCAACATGAAAATATACATATATTGTGTACTCCTCCTCCCACTTTCCTTATTTTTGAGATGGTAAAGGTACTAATCAAGATATCTGCTTCAGCTCTGAGTGAGCCTTTAATCATAAATACTTCACTGCTAACACTACCACACTGCATGAGTAGAGCATTATAAAGAAGAAGATAAATTAGGAGTTAGGTGTCTTTCTGTGCTGTTTTGAATATGAATGGCAAAATAAGAAAGCATTATGTGCTTAATATTATGGAATATATTTATATGAACGAGACTAATATTTGTCAGCATATCTCCTATATTTCTTTGTCTTAATACATGCTGCCCATTCAGAAATGACATCTTTGGGGACCATTTTAAATAGACACAGAGGAAGTCATTTTGTTTGGTCACATTAAACTGCTGAGGAGTCAGTAGATGACACGTACAGCGCAGCCTGCTTCCCTGGTGTGAACAGGATGAGCTTTTTTTTAATAGAGAACATTAAGTGTATTGAGAAAATTGCATTCACCATTAATACACTGTACCTTTTATAACTATTGCCATTGCATGTTTCACTTTTCCAGCATACTTCATCAACTCCTTCATCATCTTTTTTATTGAAAACACTATTAACAGAGCAACATCCATTACAGAGATATAGGAATTAATTAACTTGCAGCACTTGTGATCTCTGAACACTGAATATAACAGATTTGTTGGTTGTATCTCTAAGACTAATTTCCTGTCCACAGACAAGAGCACACAATCACAGAGTACTGAAGATTGAGGCTCATGTCAATAGGATTAATTTCCTCTTTTTTTTCTTTTTTTTTTTTTAAAGAGGGAGTGGGGCAGAGAACTTGTGTTAAAGTTAAAAATTATACTTCAAGCTTCAGAAAAGATTTCATTTATTCTAAAATAGATAAACATATACAGTGAAATCCTTTAGATTTGGATCTGGACTGCTCCAAGAACACAGTGTACAGACATGGATTTTTGTGATCATATCTTTGCTAAGCCAAGGTGTAGAACATTTGCTGTTTATCTCTAGAATATACAGTAGCAGGTAGAGAGTTAATGTTAAGACACAGATTTGCACTCTGATTTCCTCTGATCCAGGTTTGCACGTGCCTATTACTTTTGTTTTACTTTTTGTGAAAGAGAACTTAGAGAAATATTTTAGCCATTCAAGAAATACTAAAGGATTTATAATGTCTTTTTTTTTTTTTTTTTTTTTTTTTTTTTTTTTTTTTTTTTTTCCTAAAGGCCATTCATTTGTACTGGGACAAATGTCAAAAATATCCTGGAAAAATGAAAAGTTAATCTTGCTGCATCTACTGTGACAAACAATTATGAAGAATATAGCTGGATTTCCTGGTAGTAAAACTGCAGAGCAAAACTCCTGTACTTATAGCTTGATTCTATCCAATCCTTAATATTGACTCTAATATGATACTTATCTGTATGAGTACTTGATTGCCTTTCCTTCCCAGGCTGGAATCTGAGCACTGAAAGGTTGGCCTCAGAGGATGTGTGCTGGGGTAGTGACTGGTGCAGATGGAGCTATGCCAACTGATAGCCACCACTGACCCAATCAAAGATTAAAGTTTGATGATTATTTTGTCTAATACAATCTCTTTAAAAAGTCAGGTAGACAGATTTCTTTAAAAATGTCTGTTCCTATTGCCTGCTTTCTCTTTATGCTTTAATTAAGATCTCTCCAAACTTCCGGAGATATACATATATATTATTTATGTGCATATATTTTTGATAGTTTGGGAAGATTGTCCTTTTATTTCAGAGCTGTGAGTGACTCTTAGTATCACAGTCCTTCTTGTTACAGACATATGTATTCTACTCCATTCAATTGACCTTTGGATGACACCACAAAGTTACAGAGCTTGTTAGATAGAAATCCCTCCATAGAAACATACTGAATCACTTTTATCTGGGAAGAGGGTTTCTCCACCTGCACTTTCAATAGGATGTTGTTGCCTCAGGAGAATGACTGAGGAGATCCACAGTTTATTTTAGTAGTTTAAGGCAACATCCTCCACAGCATTTGAAAGATCCCAAATCCAAAAAATGTAAGAATGAAAATAAGTGTTTTGATAAGCAAAGCACCTTGGTTAGTCACGATGCTTCCAATTTGCAACGTCCCAGAAAGATATTTGTTATTTTAGTTTTTTTTAAGGGATGTACGATGAATGAGATCTTCCAAATATATTCATGAATAATAATGTCATTTTAATGGTACTGAATCTTTGTGTACAGCAGATGATTATGGATAATGCCAATGGGGACTGATAACCAGGTCCTGTAATTGAAATAATGTCTAGAAGAAATACTACACAGTGGCTTTGCATGTTTCAGGACAACCCAGGAACTAATCTCTCTCCTGAAAATGGTAGACTGCCTACAGCTATCATTCCAGCTATTTCTGACTAATGGTAATAGCTCTGGAATGACATCTGACTTGAAGCAGTCAGGTCTTAAAATACCAGACAAACACAGCCATCCATACCTGACTGTACTACAGGAGCAGGGATCTATGGCAAACTGCCATTGCAGTATGTCCCTTCAAGGTGTAACCTCTCCAAAAAGTGAAAGTTCAAATAGGTTTGATATGTGGTAAGCAATATTCTGACATATCCATATTTAAGTGGGAGTTCTTTGCTGTTTTTGTTTGTTTGTTTGTTTGTTTGTTTGTTTTCTCTCTTCACAAATAATGGTGAAATACTGGAAATAGGAAGGTAAGAAAAAGATATGACTGTTTAGAGCACCAGCAAAGTGTAAAAACTGTCCTAAAACCTCATATTTCTTACATTAGAAGTGTAAACTATGCTAAAGGGCTGATTTCACCAAAGGTAATCGTGAAAATCCCTCTAATGTTTCATTTAGACAATTTTGTCCTCCTGGTCCTGCATAGCTATTGAGCTTCTTTCTGGGTCTATTTTTTTTAGAAATAATGGAAAGAACCTAGTGAAATTAAAGCTTCATTTTCTTGGGCATAATCCACAAGCCTCAGGAAGAGCTGATGAAATATCTTTGCATTTTTAACCAATTGCACTAATCCAGTCAACACCATAATTGCTGTCAGAATCCCTTAGGCCTAATTTGAGTGTAAGGAAAAGCTACTGTGCTATTGTTAAACTCCTTGGGTTTAATTTTTTACCAGCCAATAATTACAAAACACAGGAAATGACATGGTGAATGATGGAACTATTTTGAAGTGCAAATTTATGAAGCAGCTGCTGCAAATAAAGTGGTAATTTAATTAGGCTTATGTCCTAAAGCTGAGGTGTAGTGAAGAACATTTCTGAGATACAAGCTAATTCAAATCTGGAATAGTAATGCTACATTTAGTAATTTTAGTGCTATAGCTCAGTTAATTACAGCATATTAGCAAAATAATGAGATAATTAATCTTCAAATGCAGTTCTTGTCTACATGCATATTACAGAAGAATTTGACTTATCCTTTCTTTGTATGTTTTTCCAAGAACAAGTTATGACTAATTTAACCTAGAGAAACCCTTCCTCACCAAAATACCTGAATTCTTTTCTTTTCCAAACCTATCAGGTTTCGGACAACTGGTTCTTTGTTTAAACTAGAAAATTCTTTCATACACAATAGAAGCTGTAAGAAGAATCTCAAAAGGTATTAAGTTCATCTTATTTGTCAGCTAAAGACTATTGCATCCACTGCTTCCATGTGTAGAATGCATGTACTATGACTGAAAAATATAATCTTTTCTTCTACACTATTTTTTGAGGTGTAGTATAGTAGTTTTTATCTGCACTTTGAAATCACATGCTTTTACAATCAGATAACTGTTAATATATCACACACAGTGTGTTCTATACCACAAAATGCATGCCACAAAATGTGCTCTACAACACAAATATGCCAGGTTAATAGTCAGAAAGGTTAACAGTCATTACTTTAACATTTCCCAGTGAAATATTTAATGATTTCAGCTGAGCCTTCCATTCTGTCCAAAGAAAACAACATCACCATCAATAAATGCATACTTTCTTTTTCTGCTTCTATGTATGCTCAGCTACAAAAGTCAAGTGGTGTGCATCAAAATTTTCACAGCACATCCAAAATACTCCAAATTAAGAATCCTAGAATCCTAGAATCCTCGCCTGCAATGAACAGCAACATCCATAGCTAAATCAGTTTGCCCAGGGTTTCATTCATCCTTGTCTTGAAAGTATCCAGGGATGGGGCAACCACCACTAATCTCGGCAACCTGTTCCAGTGCCTCACCACCCTAACTGTAAAAGTTATATCCAACCTTATATCCAATCTAAATCTACCCTCTTTAATCTTGAAGCCTTTTGTTCTGTCACCACAGACCCTGATAGTCCATCCCCTTCTTTCCTGCAGTTTCCCTTTGAATACTGAAAGGCCACTCTCAAGTCACCTCACAGCCTTCTCTTTTTTCCAGGCTGAACAACTCCAGCTCTCAGCCTGTCCTTGTAGGGAGGTGCTCTATCCTTGGATCATTTCTGTGGCCCTTCTCTGTATGAATTCCAAGAGGTCCATGTCTCTCCTGTACTGAGGACTCCACATCTGTATGCAGTACTCCAGGTGAGGCCTCACCAGCACAGACCAGAGGGGCAGAATGACTCCCTTGCCTTGCTGGCCACACTGCTTTGGATGCAGCCCAGGGTATGGTGTCTTTCCTGGCTTCTTGGAGATTCTATCCATTGTGAAAGGTACGTTTTAATCATTTGTTTCATTGTGTTATTCACTTGGCTTACAAGTCTGTATCCTTTTGCTTCAAGTAATTCTGTGACTGCAATGAACTCTGAGTTTTCAATATTTAACATTTCATGTTACTTTTACCACTGGATACAGAGGAATCAGCTTTTCACATCCTGCTCTTACTGTTTCACTGGTTCCACAAGTGCCGCTCAGGCCAGGTGAGTGAGGTTTGGCTCACCAGGCACATAGCCATAAATATCACATATAAAATCATTATTTTTAATGTCACAAAGGCTAACG